ATTTTAGCTGCTAGAAGACCGAAGGGATATTTCAGTTGCTAGGAGATCGACGGGACATTTTAGCTGCTGGAGGAGACCAAAGGGACATTTTAGCTGCTAGAGGAGACCAAAGGGACATTTTAGCTGCTAGGAGACCAAAGGGACATTTTAGCTGCTAGGAGACCGAAGGGACATTTTAGCTGCTAGGAGATCGACGGGACATTTTAGCTGCTGGAGGAGACCAAAGGGACATTTTAGCTGCTAGAGGAGACCGAAGGGACATTTTAGCTGCTAGAGGAGACCAAAGGGACATTTTAGCTGCTAGAGGAGATCGACGGGACATTTTAGCTGCTAGGAGATCGACGGGACATTTTAGCTGCTGGAGGAAACCGAAGGGACATTTTAGCTGCTAGGAGATCGACGGGACATTTTAGCTGCTGGAGGAAACTGAAGGGACATTGTGGTCACTTCCTGCTTGCTCTCGACACCTTCTCTCTTTGGAAGTAAATACGTGCCGCTAGGATTTGAATTAAAAATGCCACTGATATTTTAATGTTGCATGTTTGTATTTAATTTTTCAGGTTAAAATATATTCAGAATACATTTTAACCTGAAAAAAATGAATTGTCATTATTTCTATAGTTTGAAATTTCATGCATTTTCACTTCAAGCTAAAAATCCACACTATTATTTCAAAGCGATCACATTTTCAGTTGCTGTTTTTCAGTTTAACTGTTCAGAGTTAAAACAATTTGACACATTAAAAAATTAAACGTTTCTAAATTCAAACACTTTCAGTCTCCTGAGATTCAACCGGCTCAGTTTCACTGAAATTCAGTGCAAGAAAGGCAGGGTTACTTCAGGTCACAGACATTAGCAAAGGATGCCAGAATCCAACACCCACATCCTCGTTCTTAGTCACATGACGCTTGTTGAAGGAAAACATGTCCGAGGGCTCATGGAAGCTAACGCTAACTCAACGCGAGTTTAATGGTTTCATTTCTCTGTAGTATGGTTTATGTAGTATCAAACTTGATGCGCAAAAAAAAGAGACAGAAAAATTTATGATAACGGGATTTGTGCTTTTTGGAAGTGGCAGGTACCTGGCATCTCGACAGATCTGGAACACGCTGGCAGCGGTTCTCGTGTGACGGAAGGTGGCGTGCTCGGAGCGCTAAGACTCGGAGGCTCTGTGAGCTGAGCCGTAAGCTGGACGTGATTTCTAAGAATCGCAGGCGACTTGCGGCTCCTGGAACTCGCTGGCGTGAAGGAATCGACCTTGGAGAAGGCTACAAGCACTGCATGGCAGAGTGACCACAAAATCCGTCTGTTTGGATCGCCACCGAGACGTACCAGCAGAACTTTGAAGACGATTAAATTAACCAGTCGGCCTGTCCCAAAACAATCAGTGCTCTTTGAATCTGGCTGCCCCGCTTGGCCTTGAATAGGCCAACTTATCTCAAATTTCTCTTGGAGGTCATGTGAACAAGAAGCTCTGCTCCCCCTCCCCTTCCTGGGACATCTGTGGACCTGTATCAGAGCTGAGCCGGCTGATAAGAAACTGTACCATCTCTCATCAGGACTATGGAGCTCTCTGGCAGTGTTTATGGACATCTCAGCGCCTTTGTCGGCCTCCTCCTCTTCAGTTATTATTATTATTATTATGACGTCATTATGTGCGAGGTCTTTTACCTTCTGACTTTCACACTGTGCCCCTGCCAGGACATGGGGAGAGATTTTTTTTTTTTTAAACTTCTCCTCTTGTTTTCTCTTTCCTTTACTTTTGTCTGTCCGTCTAAATCAGGTCTCACTTGTAAATGAGTCTCAGAGGCTCAATGTGATTAATCTGTATAAATAAAGGTTGAATGAACTGAATGCACATTTCAGCTGCTACAGGGGAGACCGAGGAGACATTTTAGCTGCTACAGAGGAGACCGAGGAGACATTTTAGCTGCTAGGGGAGACCGAAGGGACATTTTAGCTGCTATAGAGGAAATCGAAGGGCCATTTTAGCTGCTATAAAGGAAATCAAAGGGCCATTTTAGCTGTTATAGAGGAAATCGAAGGGCCATTTTAGCTGCTAGGGGAGACCGAAGGGCCATTTTAGCTGCTACAGAGGAGACCGAGGAGACATTTTAGCTGCTAGGGGAGACCGAAAGGACATTTTAGCTGCTAGGAGACCGAAGGGACATTTTAGTTACTGGAAAAGACAGAAGAGACCTTTTAGCTGCTACAGGAGACTGAAGGGATTGAAACACCAAAACGAACTAGCCGAAGAGGCTGCAAGCCTGGAAACACCACAGAAAAAGAACGATAAAGTCGGACAGTGGTCGGCGTTTCGTCACAAATCAAGCTCATCCAAATGTTGTCCCTCGTCTCGTCTTTGAAGCCAAACCCAGACGCCTTCAGCAACTGTAAACAGAAAAGAGCTCACCGGTCCACTACTCTCAGTGTCTCTGCAGAGCAGCGGCAGCAGCCGGCCTTCAGATACTACAAACCAGCCGAAGGTGAACCCAACACATTAAACAAACGTCCTGAATCCACCTCGTGAAGGACAGACCAGCAGCTGCAGCATTAACGTCCCGCCCAAAGCTTTCAGCAACAAAAACAGCTAAAGGTTTACACGCCTGCTGCTGGAGGGAAAAGTGCATCACTCAAGAACAGAAACAGCAGCGAACAGCCGAAATAATTTCACCACATCTGCAACAAACAGCCGAAGGAGCCTAACAGCATCTGCAACAAACAGCCAAAGGAATGTGACCCCAGTCGCAAAAAACAGCCAAAGGAATGTGACTGCATTTGCAACAAACAGCCGAAGGAATGTGACCACATCCACTAACAGCCGAAGGAATGTGACAGAATCCACAAGAAAACCTCACTTTAAAATATACAAACTGTCCCTTTAAAGAGAAAATCTTAGCTCCAACATCTCAAAACTAAACTAAGGAGCTCCAATCAAAGAAGTCCGAAGGAGGACCGGCCCAAAAGAACCAAATAAATACCCTCCAACGGCTCTAAGTGTGTGTGAAGAAAAAGTTCTGTAAGCATCTGCAGCGAGGTCAGCAATAAATAACCCGGTCCACCTCGGGCTGGGTTTATTAAAAAGTTCTGGTTCCTTTCTTTAGCGTTTCTGGTGTAAAAACCGGTCCTGATGCTTGCGGTCGTCATGGTTACACACCAGTCCGATCAGTTTCCGGCTCGATGCTCTAAAGTCAAACGAATCTGCAGCAGCTCCGCCCCCTCTGCTTTCAGAAGATGCAGGGGCGGGGCTTAAGAAGAACGAAGGACGTCCTTCATTGTCCGATTCTCTGTCAGAAACACCCCATGAGTCCGATCCTCCTCAGATCTCTGAGAGTCGAGAGGGATTCAGGGTTTCTGGGGTCCGGGGGACAGAACCACGGGGGTGGAGAGTCCGTCCACGCTCAGCGCCGGGATGTGGATCTGGTTACTGCCGTTGGAGGGAAACTGAAGACACACAGACAGAGGGTCACGTTAGCATCATCTTTAAAACGCCTAAGATGGAGCCACACTTTCGACCTTTGTGGCATTTTTAAGTGGTTCAAGGACACACAACTGGTTCACAACACAGATACACGTGAACCCCGGCTGTGGGCGTAACCACATGTGTTTTTCCTGTGTGCTGCAACCATGTGCAGCGTTACAACCAATCACCGAAACTTGGCGCCGAAAGACGAGGAATATTTTGATACTTGGTACTACCGAAGCATGTCGGTCTGTAAAGAACCCAAGTTCGGTACTCAGCCCTAGTCTAGTGGTTCTACACTTAATGCTCCTCAACCTCCTTCCTGAGGGGAGCGGGACAAAAAGTGTGTGTGCTGGGTGAGTGTGGTCCTTCATGATGCAGGTGGCCCTCTTCCTGCATCTGGAGGTGTAGATGTCTGTGATGGTGGGGAGACTGACTCCAACATCTTCTGTGCAGCCTTCACCACTCTCTGCAGAGCTTTTCTTTCTGCAGCTGTGCAGCCTCCATGCCACACATTGATGTGAAGGTTATTCTCTTTGCACCAGCTCTCCAGGTGTTCCACCTCCTGCCTGTAGCTGGACTCATCATTGTTTGTGATGCATCCCACCACCGCTGTATCAGCTGCAAACTTTACAATGTGACAGCCTGGATGGGTAGCTGCACAATCATACGTGAGCAGAGTGAACAGGAGAGGGCTCAACACACATCCCTGAGGAGAGCCAGTGCTGAGGGTTATGGTGGAGAGGGAGAAGTTGTGGATCCTCGCTGACTGCGGTTTGTTGGTTAAGAAGTCCAGGACCCAGTTGCAAATGGAGGGGCTTAGACGGTGGACAGAAATAAAACTTTACATTTTTTAAATCAGAAAAAACGTGATGGTTTCAAAACCCAGAACAAAAAGAATTTATTAACTTTTATCATCAAACATCAAGGTTTCCCAGGAAGTGTTGTAATGTCCCACACTAGAACCAGCTCCTGAACGTCTCACCCCTCCTTTGAGTTTTAGTTTTTATTTTCGTTGACTGTCAAACAGAATTTATTACGACGGGGGACTGAAGCCTCTGAAGAGAACAGAACCACATGACAGATGGAGGACGGGCCGAGCCAGAACCCTGCACACACTTCCTGTTCTCCTGAGGACCGGGCCGGGCTCCAGACCCTGAGAGGACACCAGGTCTGCGTTAAACCTGGTTCTAGCGCTCCAGATGGAGACCCTGAGAGTCCTCACAAAGACTGGAGGACTGTGTGTGTGTCTCTCTGTGTGTGTGTGTGTGCGCGCGCACGTGTGTCTCTCTCTGTGTGGTGTGTGTGTGTGTCTCTCTCTCTGTGTGTGTGTGCATGTGTCTCTCTCTCTATGTAGTGTGTGTGCAGTGGGCTCGGTGTATTACCTGGAAGGACAGCTTGGCGGGTGAGGGTGCGATGGGACTGAGCGTGCTCCAGAAGTGGATGGTTGAGGGCAGAGCGTTGGGAGTCAGCAGGACGGGAGTCTGAACACACACAAACACCAAGCTGGACTCAGAGGTTCTGGTTCTGCTGGGTCAGTCTCACTTTGGGCTCAGACAGAACAAATCAAACTGAAGGCCCGGGTGTCGGCTACTACCACACCCAACATTAGTTCAGTGTCTGTAAGACTGACCAGCCACTAGCTCATGAGATATTTTGCTAACAGACAGGTGGGGGTTTACCAGAGCGTGGGAGGTGATGACAGTCGGGGTGAGCGTGTTAGTCGCCGATCCAGGAGCCAGCAGATTGTTGACCGCTGCGTTCACCTGCAGAGACAGGAAGTGATGTCACAGCTTGGCCAGAGGAGGGAGGCAGTGAGTCATGTGACCAGCCCAACCTTATCCAGGGACAGGCCTGGGGGGAGGTACGGGGAGGAGGGCAGTTCCAGGCCCCGTGGCTTCTTGGGTTTGGGAGGAACGGCGCCCGGCGTGGAGGCACCTGATGACGAGGAGGAGGAGGTCAGCGGGGGGGCGGAGGGATCTGAGGGAACGGCAGACGAGCGTTTTATAAATCTGACAAAACCAGGAAGAAACGGGTAAAAACCAAAACAAGGAGTTACCGCTGAGAGCTGAACGACAGCCGAACTTTGGCTACAAACTGACAAATCAGAAGCTAAAACAAAACTGCAGCTAAAACAGTAGCTAAAATGAGCAAACGCTGAATGCTAACAGCTACGATGAACAAAGTTCAACATAAACAGGAAGTCGTTCAGAAGGAAGTCAAATCAGTAAAAATGCTGACTCAGCGCCGACTCATGAACACCTTCAGCCGACTGAAGGTCCCCGGTTCAGATCCGACCAGCACTGCTCCACTTCCTGTTACCTGTCAGAGAGTCCTTGGCCGCCTCCTCCCCTCCCTCTGGCTCCATACAGGGAGGGGGCGGGCTCTCCACGATGCTGAGGGGAGATTCTGGTTCTGATGGGCCACAGATCAGCTGAGGGACCTGGAAGGAGGAGCAGGAGAAGAGAAGGAGGAGCAGGAGAAGAGGAGGAGGAGCAGGAGAAGAGGAGGAGGAGAAGAGAAGGAGGAGCAAGAGAAGAGGAGAAGAAAAGGAGGAGCAGAAGAAGAGGAGGAGGAGCAGAA